TATTTTTTACGAGTGGTATTTTTTATAAGTTCTATTTTTGATGCGTTGCATTTCCATGCGTTCTATTTCTACGTGCCGTGATTTCCTTGCGTTGTAATTCCACACGCTGTATTTTCACGCGCTGCAATTTCCTCGCGCAGCCTTTTCCACGCGTTCTGTCTCCACGCGCTGTATTTCTACGCGTTCTATTTCCACACACCGTATTTCCATACGCTGTAATTCCCTCACGTTGCATTTTGCACGCATTGTAATTGCACGCGTTCTATCTCCACGCGCTGTATTTTCACGCATTCTATTTCCCTCGCGTTCCATTTACACGCGTCGTATTTCCACGCGCTGTAATTCCCTCGCGCTGCATTTTCCACGCACTGTAATTCCACGCGTTCTATATTCACGCACAGTATTTCCACGCATTCTATCTCCACGCGCTATACTTCCACGCGTTCTACTTTCACACACCGTATTTCTACGCGCTGTATTTCCCTCTCGTTGCATTTACCACGCGTTGTCGTTCCACGCGCTGCATTTCTACGCATTCTATTTCCCTCGCGTTCCACTTCCACGCGTCGTATTTCCACGCGCTGTAATTCCCTCGCGCTGCATTTTCCACGCACTGTAATTCCACGCGTTCTATATTCACGCACAGTATTTCCACGCATTCTATCTCCACGCGCTATACTTCCACGCGTTCTACTTTCACACACCGTATTTCTACGCGCTGTATTTCCCTCTCGTTGCATTTACCACGCGTTGTCGTTCCACGCGCTGCATTTCTACGCATTCTATTTCCCTCGCGTTCCACTTCCACGCGTCGTATTTCCACGCGCTGTAATTCCCTCGCGCTGCATTTTCCACGCACTGTTATTCCACGCGTTCTATATTCACGCGCTGTATTTCCACGCATTCAATTTTTCTCGCGTTCTATTTCCACACGCTGTAATTTCCTCGCGCAGCATTTTCCACGCGTTCCATTTTCACGCACCGTATTTCCACGCACTGTATTTCCCTCTCGTTGCATTTACCACGCATTGTAGTTCCACGCGTTATATCTCCACGTGCTGTATTTCCACGCATTCTATATCCCTCACGTTCTATTTCCACATATCGTATTTCCACGCGCTGCAATTTCCTCGCGCAACATTTTACACGCGTTCTATCTCCACGCGTAGTATTTTCACGCGTTCTACTTCAACGCACCGTATATCCACGCGTTGTAATTCCCTTGCGTTGCACTTTCAACGATGCGCATTTTACACAGATTGTATTTTCCAAACCTTATATTCGCCTCTATCAATAATTATACAAACCGAGGTAATATAAATATGATAAAATGAATTGTACCTAAGCACCATAAACTATATCAAAACATAACCTTCCACTCTTAAACCGCAAAATTATTGTTATGACCTCATAAAATTAATAAAAAAATTTCCAAAAAATATCTAAAATACTGTGTAAAGTTTCTAAGAATGTACTTGAATTATAACTCCTATAACTCAATTTCTAGGAACTGTATATACCCTTAACGGCCCGTATACCACCATAAGACCCATCTGGAGAGATGAAAACAAGAATTTATACGAACTCTATAAAAACTTCTCCATTTTCCCCCGCACAGAAGAAGGATTTTCCCGAGATGAATCACGGGGAGATGAAAATAAAGAGGCTAACACGTACAGACACGCGAATTACCGGTTGCACAGAATAATGTACACGTAAAAGGGATCGTTACTTACGCATCATGAAGCCCCTCCAGCGATTCTCTGGACAGCACACGAGAGAATAACCTCGATTTTCGGCCAACAATTTCCTTTCCACCGGCAAATTAATCTACCTCTTACCCGTACGATACTTCTCTAGCATTAAATGCGAATGGTAGACGTACGAAACGGCAATGTCTGCCGGCCCCTTTTATTCCCCGGCTCGAAAAATGAGCCTTTATTTCATCGGTGAAGCGTAAGGAGAGCCGCAGTTCTGCCACCTAAACGGCACACGAAACGAGCCAGACTCTATAGAAGTAGTCGGGATGCCATCCCTACAGTCGTGCGATGGTTTATTGCTAATATTTCTTCGGGGTAATATTGGTTCGCGCCACCTACATACGTCCCACCATGTTGGATAACGCTAACAGCCGTCTCGTTCGAATTTTATTACTGATTCACGTGTTTGCATACCCGGATGACCACCGCAGGCTTACGTGTCGTTACGAGACTTGTATCGTTTTCAAATTTTCTTTCAATTTTACTGCCTTTCGTCTATGTATTCCTAGCGTATTTAAAATACTTTATTCATGACGAATGAGAGATATAAAGACGATATTCTATAGAAATTAAACTTTTATAGCTTACTATCAGGGTGGTTAAAACGCACTTAATATGAGTTTTAATATGTTTTTCTATTGTGGAAGAATAAAATTATGTATTTATAGTGTGTAAGATTTCATTATTCAATTGTAGGAATCGATTTGGAAGCAGAAATAGTAATAAGAATTTGAAATTGTGTGGAGTTCATGGAGAGAGCGTATGCGCATGCGCAGAGTGTAGCGCATGCGTGATGTGTAGCGCAGAGTGTAGCGCATGCGTGATGTGTAGCGCAGTGTAGCGCATGTGTGATGTATAGCGCAGAGTGTAGCGCATGCGCAGAATGTAACACAGAGTGTAGCGCATGCGCAGAGTGTAGCGCAGAGTGTAGCGCATGCGCAGATCGTACAGCGACTCCCACGCGAAATTTAAAATCACAAACAGTACCTCAACACCTTCCACCGAAATACAACACATCGAATATCACAATTTAATTTAATTTCTCAATTTTATTCACTTAACTACAGAATGCAATAAAGAGCGATAAAAGTCTCTCCAATTCAGACGTAAAAAGTTGAAAGCAGACAAATTAACCCTGAATCGAGACTGATCTAGACAATTGTCCCTTCGTCTAATTAACTGAATAAAAGCTTCGCAAACTCTTAGACTTATTAGCAAGAAGGTTTTCCAATTTTAAACGTAATGTCCCCCTGCCTGATTCATCAAACTCGCCAAATAGTTTTTCATCTCCCCTTGACGCGCTGAGTAATTGTCGCAATTAATAACTGCAAATTCAATTTTCCAGTTCAATATCTCCTACAGGGAGAGACATTCGAACCCTGCCTATTTTACGCCTTTTTTCGCGTTCTTTCGTTTAATCATGCGTACGGGCTGCTCAGGCCTGACTGTCTACGCGATTTGTCAGGCATTTCTGCTTAACTCAGAAAATACTTTATGCAAGAAACGTTTTTATTGTACGTCTTGGGATTGTTAACCTTTGATGAACTTCGACGGAAGACATTTGATGTTATACACCCCTTGAAGACTCGTTTAGTAAATTTTATACACGTGTACTTTTACACATATGTACACATATGTATTTTTAAGCATGCACAGTTTTATGGATGTCAAATAAATAGCAAGATTCGTCATTAATAAACCTTGTATTTTAAATTAAATTTTGTTACAATTTTGTGTATTAAATCAAATTTTTTTACAACCTTGTGTTTTAAATTAAATTTTTTTGAAAACTTGTGTTTCAAATTAAATTTTATGTTACAACCTCGTGTTTTAAATAACATTTTAAATAGTATAGGAACCTAAATTAGTACGTAATTTAAACAGTATTTTAATATACTAAAATTGTGCCATGATTCAAGATTTTATATTTAGGAAAGTAGTGTAATAAGATTTTAATTTCACAAAAGTTGTGTAACAAAAAAAATTGATAAATCAAAATAGATTGAACAGAAGATAAAAATTGCTGTTTGTTTTAATTCTGTACGAATAAAATGGTGAAATATTTTTGTGATCAAGAGTAGCTGTCGCCGTAGTACGTGTAAATTTAAATAATTCGATCGAATAATAAATCAATTATTAACGATGAAAGGTCTATTAGTGGATTTTCAGTCAATAACCAGCCGCATCGAATAATCTATTAACACGTTGATTGCCATGGAATCAAGCAATTACGAATGGGAAATATGGAGAGAATTCTCATAACCGTCAGTATCAATAATTAAACATTCATTTCCTTAATAATTCTAATTTTAATGTACCACGCGTATGATCGTTTTCATTGAAGCAATCAATGATTAATATGCTTCGTATTGTTGAAATATTAATTAATATATTCGGCGAATTTACAAATTCTTAGAGACAAAAATTTCATTCTATGTTTTATAAAAATTTCAACTATGTTTTGTATTTTTATTTCCTCGCAGTGTTATTTTTTAATGATGGTTAGGTTGAAGTTCAGACAATTTTATAAAAATTTCATTCTTGTATTGGTTGACTGTCGCTCGATTTTATCAAATTACTCTTTGATAAGACGTACACTTAAATTCGTGTTCGAATAAAAATTAATAAATATTGTACAGGGTAAAGTAGCCTAATATGAGACATATTAAAAATTCTCCATTAGCCAATTTTGTTAGACTCTGATTAAGACTTTACAACTTTTATTAAACCTTGATTGCCATTTTCATTTAAATTTGATATATCATAATATATACTCTTTCTTTTGGTAAAATATGCACTCTTTCTTTTAATAAAATATGTATTCTTTTACTACGAATGCAATAAATATTTCTTTTTAAGTTTCTTCTTAAAAAATTAAAAATAAAAGTTACACAAATATTCAGATAAAAACACGTATCTTCCCACGACAACTAGTTTCCCTGTTTCTGAAACTAATTCTTTGTACTCCTCATAAAATACATATACCAGCTTCTCCTCAACATAACCAAATTTAAATTTGCAATTAGTCATATTTAAATTTAATTTTATCTTGAAATATGTCGATTTTCATCAAGATAAATTAATTAACATATCGTTTACTAATCATTATACTTCTAATGATAAATCAGTGAGCGATTTTTCGAACACAATGGATTAAAGTCTCCATAACGGAGATCCTCCGTTAGAAGAGGTCCTCATATTAGGCACCTTGATCCCAATTAATAAAGAAGGTGTAATTACCTTAATACTGTCGTAGCAAGCAGTGACCCGTCCATTCTGCACCTCGACGTTAGCCGGCGGATGAGCGAATTTGCACTCCGTGTCAGGCCTAGTACACTTGTTGCGTTGAAACTCCCTGCAAACCTCAAGCTGCAGCCATCGGGAGTCCTTGCCGTTCAGTAGGTTATTCATGTTGACCATTGCCATACTTCCAACTCCTGGAAGACCAACGGGGAACTCCTCCTTACTAGGGCTACACAAAATCCGGCTTTCTATACCGACTTTAATTTATCCTCTTCGCACGACGATCTTCTCTTCTCCGAGCACTGCGCCTTGCCTCGTTTCTTCGCGTTCACTAAATTTATCAAAACATACTTTTTGTTAGCTTAATTCGAAGTACAACAGGTTTGTCTGCTATGGGACACTCGTGGGATGTTTGAAAAATTCGAAGTCTTTGATTGATTGATTGGTTGATCGACTCATTGATTGATTGACTGACTGATTGATTGACTGACTGACTGATTGATTGATTGACTGGCTGATTGATTGACTGATTGATTGATTGATTGATTGATAGACTGATTGATTAACTGATTGATTGACTGACTGATTGATTGATTGACTGATTGATTGATTGATTGATTAACTGATTGATTGACTGACTGATTGATTAACTAATTGATTGACTGACTAATTGACTGATTTATTAACTGCTTTATTGATTTATTTATTCATGCATTTATTGACTAACTGACTGATTGATACATTCATTCTTTGATAACTGGCTGATTGGTTGATTGACACATTCATCCATGCATGCATTGACTCACTAACTGACTGAGTAACTCATTCACTAATTGATTGATTGATTGATTCATTCATTCATTCATTCATTCATCCATGACTGACTACCTAATTGACTGACCGACTGAATGACTCATTGATTCATTGATTGACTACCTGATTAACTGACTGACTGTTTAATTTATTGATTGATTGATTCATTAACTAAGTACTTGATTAACTGACTGACTGACTGACTGTATAATTAATTTATTGATTGATTCATTGATTGACTGACTGACTGACTAACTCATTGATTGATTGATTCATTCATTCATTGACTGATTGATTGATTCATTCATTCATTGACTGATTACTTGATTAACCGACTGACTGATTAATTTATTGATTCATTCATTCATTGACCGACTGACTGACTAACTGTCTGATTAATTTATTGATTGATTGATTCATTGACTGACTGACTGACTAACTCATTGATTGATTAATTCATTCATTTACTGACTGACTGAATAACTTATTGATTTATTGATTGATTGATTCATTCATTGACCGACTGACTCATTGATTAATTGATTGATTAATTGATTCATTAATTCATTGACAGACGTACTGACTGATTGATCTATTGATTGATTGATTCAGTGACTGAAATAATGGAGATTGACATACATTTTGATAAATTGAAACCAAATTATAAAAATAAGTTAGCTTATCAATGATTATCAGGTTGAAGGTTAAAATAAGTATAACATTTAACAACAGTTTAAATAATTATTATAATTGTAAATAAGAAATGTGAAATCTGTAAATTTAGTGGAGTGCCCCGAGCAGATAAGTAATAATAATAATGAAATAAGTATACCTTTCTGAATAATCTGTTTATTGTTCCATGAACGCGTCCTTTCGGCAAAGTGGCCTTTCTCCGTGTCTTCCTCGTACGTAGCGAAAAATCACGCGCGGCGTATTAATATCGCGATCGAAAACTAACCGTGTTTTATTTATCCTCCCGTCGATCCGCCTAACTATATTCGTTGTTGCGATTAGCAATTATCGAGGAACACCGTGTATCGAACCGGTCGCGATCAGCCGAACCGAACGGAAACTAAAAATAATCGAATGCCGAACAAAAATTGGCCGAACACCGTTCTTTCTATCCTCGTGATGAACTCCACACACCGGGCCACACCCGAGCCGTTTCCGAACGATCGAACAACAAACAACACGCGTGTCGAAATAGAGAGAGAGAGAGAAAGAGAGCTTCTTTGCGTGGATCTTTTTTCGTTTCTGTCACCGGTGGATCGATGATGGCGTCGGGTCGAGCAGGATTGCAGAGAGAGCGTGTAAAGAAGCGGCAGGAGGCGAAGGATACTCTCACCGTGGAAGATATATGCGAGCAAACCTACTATTATTTCCGATTCTTTCAACGATTTAGGCTCGACGAATCCGATCAGCTCTTCCGATCTTCCCTGTGTGCGATCTTCGCGCGGTGTCGAGCTTTAGTGTCGCGAGGAGGAAGGCAAAGCTTGAGAAAGCTGCGCGTCGACCACCCAGCGATTAAGTGGATTCTACGTGTCTGTTTGGTCGTTGGGTGTACGTGTCTGTTTGTCGATGGACCAAGGATTAAGGATCGGAATCCTCGATAAAGGGGTAGCTCTACGCTAAGGGATGGAAATTCGGAAGATAGAAGAGAGAGAGAATAAGCGCTAGAAGGCGGTCGAAGGCGACGAAGCAGGTGAAAGAAGGCAAAGGTCAGGTTGCGAAGGGTCGTGAATCGTGGCTGAAGGGATGGGAAAGGTCAGAATGAGTGATTGGGGAGGGAGGGAAGGGGGATTGCGAGTTAGCGAGCGACGTTGCGTTTCCGTTTCCTTCGATTCACGTCATTTATTCGAAGCGCTCTCCTTGCTCCTCCCGCGGTCCACCTCCGGTTTCTGCTGTTCTGAAAACAAACAACAATTTAATTAATCCTTTTATCTCATAACAAATATTTTTATAATTCTCATTTATATGAATTGAGTCGTATACATTCTATACACAGAATCACGCACATCCTCTCATCATGTTCCTCCTTCACATCTCAATCATGCACTTGACTTAACCTACAGCTTATATCATCCATACTCAACCTGTGCTCCACACAACTATAGTCAAAGCTTATAGCTAGTTTATACAATCAAAAACAGTTTTCAACAAATAAATACCCATTTTTTATTATTTTTTAATAATTCTACAGCACATGTGACTGTTATGTACATGTGATCTGAAGCAAAATAGGTTGAGTATGGATGGTATGTTTGATCATATTGGTCCTAGACATTCAGAACTACTAATGACCCTTCTCATTCCCTCCCAAATTAAACTTACGAACTTTCAGAAGAAATAGCATACGTTTGACAGATTATTTTCAAAAATCAGAGAGTAAAATCGCAAAGTTGTAGAAGCTTAACATTTTAGGTGACACTGACATCATATAAGGTGTCATTCATATGTGAGTCTAACATTCTCATATGAATCTATCACCTATACTCTGCAGGATTTATTAGCTTAACTAACTGCAAATACACGTCGTTAACTAACTAGAAGTTAATAAATATAACAAATCATCAGGAAGAAGTTTGTAAGATTTGTTAAAAATGGAAGTGCTAATCAAATTTTCAAGTGCTTATGTGGCAGTCAAGGTGTTACCTGCCTTTTGAAAGATTTTCGTGTAAGAAGTTAATAAATTATTGAACGTGAGAGTTTAACAGAATATCCCAAACTTTGGTATGAAAAGGATGAATGAAAATTTGAATGAAAATTTGTAAATTTCCATAGTTGATTTCTAAACCGAACTACCTTTGAAAAGCAGAATCTTTTCCTAAAAGATCATTGTTGGGAAATATTATGCCACGCAAGGGGAACAACTGATTAGATTAAGTACTTAGATTAGATAAGATGTGATCCAAGATTAGTATTATCTGGACCTATTTATCTTCACTTCAACGAACTCTGAACGACAGGTATTTTTCCACTTGGTATCAAATGAAACGCTACAGACTCTGTCAGGGTGTTTAAAGACTCATCAATCATTTGTGTAATTAATGATCTTCCACGGAAATTTGTCAAGCGATTTATATCAGACAGTTTACAAATTTTCAACTCTTTCAGTTTATCCTGATTCTCAAGTTTTCTATATTCTCAAATTTTGTTGCAGTTCTAATCTTTATGTTTTGAAATCCTCATAGGTGTGAGTCTTTGCATTTACAAATTTGTTATTGCAATTTTTATGTTTTTAAATTTCTAATGTTCACGGAGATTCCCAATTTTCTAGACTTTCAAATTTTTAAACTTCCATGGTAGGTAAAAAATTCAGTCTTCAAATTTCAAGGTCTAAAGACCTAATCCTCCATATCAGACTACTTGATTAAATGACTGACTGATTAATTTATTGATTGATTCATTCACTAACTGACTACCTGATTGACTGACTGACTGACTGAATGATTAATTTATTGATTGATTGATTCATTGACTGACTGACTGACTAACTCATTGATTGATTCATTGATTCATTGACTGGTTGACTAACTGACTGACTGACTGACTCATTGATTGATTCATTCATTCATTAACTGACTGATTAATTTATTGATTGATTCATTCATTGACTGATTACCCGATTAACAGACTAACTGACTAACTGACTGACTGACTGACTGACTGACTGATTAATTTATTGATTGATTAATTGATTGACTGACTGACTGACTAACTCATTGATTGATTCATTGATTCATTGACTGGTTGACTGACTGACTGACTGACTGACTCATTGATTGATTCATTGATTCATTCATTAACTGACTGATTAATTTATTGATTGATTCATTCATGGACTGACTGACTGATTAACTGACTTACTGGCTGACTGATTAATTTATTGATTAATTCACTCATTGCCTGACTGACTAACTAACTAACTCGTTGATTGATTCATTCATTTATTCATTGACTGGCTGACTGACTCATTAATTGATTAATTCATTCACTCATTCATTGACTGACTACCTGATCAACTGACTGACTGACTGACTAACTCATTGACTGATTGATTAATTGATTCGTTAATTCATTTGACTACATCCACAAGTTCTAAATGAAGCAAAGATTACAATATCGATAATACCACAAATTTTGAAGTCCCCAAATTGCAGTGACCTTAAACACCAAGTTCCCTACATCCACAAATCTGAACAATCCCAAATTACTACACTCTTAAATCCCAAGATTTCCATATCACCAGCTCCACAAATCTTGAAACCCACAAATTACAGGATCAGTAAATTCGAAGATCACCGAGTACCTGAACCTCTACATTTCTGCACCTACAAATTTTAGCGATCCTCATTTCTATGTGGTTAAATCGCTATACATCCGTATACATACATAGATCCCCACATTACCACGGTCCCCAAACTAGAAGATGCCTAAATTCCAAAATTCTGAACAACTTGATGTCCACATCTCTACATCCACAAATTTGAATGATCCCAAATTGTTACACCATCTAATTGCAATAAACCCATATTCCTAGAACCCGGCGTTACCAAGGTCCCCAAACTAGAAGATGCCTAAATTCCAAAATTCTGAACAATGTGATGCCCCATATCAAATTTAAATGACCCCAAATTTCTCTATTGTCAAGTTGCTATACATCCATATTCCTAGATCCCCATATCCTCAAGGTTCGCAAATTACAAGATTCTCAAATTAACAAAAACATGAAACACCTAATGCCCCATTATCTTTACATCCACAAGTTTAAATGCCTCTAAATTCTTACAACGTCGAATCGCTATACACCTACATCTCTACATTCCCATATTCTCAAGGTCTCCAAATTACAAGATCCCTAAATTCCAAAATCCTCAAATAGCTAAAACCCCATATCTCTACATCTGCAAATTTGAATGACCCCAAATTCCAAAATTGTCAAATTTCTATACACCCATATTCCTAGATCTCCATATTCTCAAGGTCTCCAAATTACAAGATCCCTAAATTCCAAAATCCTCAACTACCTAATGTTCCACATCTCTGCATCCACAAATTCTGATGATCCTAAATTTCCAAATGGTCAAATCGCTCTACACCAATATCCCTAAATCCCCAAATTCTCAAGGTCCCTAAATTCCAAAAGCCTCCATTACCTAATATCCCTCATCTTCACATCCACAAATTCTGATGATTCTAAATTCCCAAATGGTCAAATCGCTCTACACCAATATCTCTGAATCTTCAAATTCTCAAGGTCCCTAAATTCCAAAAGCCTCACCTCCCTAATATCCCACATCTCTGTATCCACAAATTGTGATGATCCAAGGTTCCCAAATGATCCAAACGCTATATACTCTATCCCTAAATCCCCAAATTGCTAAAACCCGCAAATTACAAGATCCCCAAATTATAAGATCCCTAAACTCCAAAATCCTCAAATACTTGACGCCCCACATCTCCGCATCCACAAATTCTAATGACCCCAAGTTCCTACGTTCCCACACCGTCAAATCGCACTAAACCCGCATCTCCAAATTCCCATATTATCAAGATCCCCAAACTCCTAACTCAGAAGCCAGATTCGCTGTTGACTGTACATATTTGCTGCTCGCTGTACATATTTGCAACGTTCGCGAATAAAAGAAGAAGAAACCGTTCGAAGATTTTCGCGGCGTCCTGGAAATCCCCGGGAAAAACAAACGACTCGACCGGAAACGTTTCTCTTCCCGGTATTTTCTAGTGCGTTGAACGCGCGCATACGTAGCCATAACTCTTGCCAGGTAACATGAGAAACGAGTCGAGCGGTTCGGGCCCGCTTTTCGTAAGCGGCTTACTCGCGCGACGGAAAATTGTGCTACGTTATTTCACCCCCTCGCCCTCCACCTTCTTTCTCTTCATCTTAAAGGGTTATTTCCATCCGGGCAAGCCAAAAAATCGATTATTATTTATTCGTTCTATTTCTCGAGAGGATACTAGGTTTGATATTAATTTTATGATCATTGGATGTTGCTTTTGGATTCAAAATAAATACAAGGGATGTTCTTCGACAAAACAAAATTTTCTTTTTTCTGATGTGGATGAAAATATTAGATTGTTTCATAAAAATTTTGATTAAATTGGTTTTTGTTAAATTAGTTAACCTTGAGAAAAATATGTAGAGTGGATGATTAAACAGAGGACTAACTTGCCACATTTTTTATGAGTCTGACTCGTGACGCACTCGGTCAAGTTTGATAAATCTTACTCAAATTTTTAATATCTTCCAATAATATCCTACAATAAATTGGACTACAATAGTTCAAGTCCAATTTGCATAGTCAAGTTTACTGAATACAAAATTGACCTAACATTTCAAATTTCTTCGTCTGTTTTAATATTATAGATGTGGTTAGTTAGGTCAGATTGACGCACCTGACAAATCACAAGGTCAAAGGTTTAGTATCATTCAAACCATATGTTGCAATAATCTCACAATACCTAATTTCACATTTGAAGAATATATAAAAAAGTCATACAAGGTACACGGTGATTATGGCCATATACCGGGTGATCAAATATTCCATATTACACGAAAATATGACGAAATACATTCAGTGTAATAAATTTGATTCCAAAAATGTTTATTCTTAGATAAAATCGAAAATAGATGGAATCAAATGAGAATAGCATGGAGTTTGTTCGGTTCCCCGTTATATGGCCGTATAGGTGACCCCCGGTGGCAGTAAACGTGTTATCGCCACGAATTCGCGTATCTTCCATCCGTGACTGGTATTTCGCGTGCTCGAAAGACTTCCCTTGGCTCTCGGTCGAATCGATACACGTGCACGAATGCGGCTTCGAGCTTCGTCCACTTCTTTCACGTGACTACCGCAGAAAAAGAGGGACGAGCAAATCAATATCTCA